GTATAAGTTAGTTGGAATGTTTTTCCTGTCCTGACTATGTCAAACCTTGCTTTGCTTTGCTCAGTTTGCCATGGACGCTGGGGGGAGGGGAATTCCTTAGGAGGGAATGTGAGTGTGGAGTGTGTGACTGCACTATTGTAGGAGCGTAACTCTTAAGAAGAGCCTTTCTTTGATTCACAGAGGAACATCCTTGAATCTTCTGGTGCCAGCTAGCTTCGTAGATAGTGGAATCATATATTTCTCACGTGAAAGGGGGGTTAGAGACGCTGGATCTAGGCAGGGTGAATGTGACGTGTGCATGGTGCTTAGGAGGGGTTATATTTGAATTACCTATATCTTTGCATGTACCTGCCAAAATCTTCAGAACTGACACAGTACTGTTAAGTCTTGGAACTTGTTTATATCTCAGTAAAGCCTTTCACTGCCAAAGACAGTGTGGTTGAGAGTAACTTCCCCAGGAGTCTGACAGACTATGAGTTTAAACCATTTTAGTGTTCAGTTTGTTATTTAGGTAAGAATAGTAGTTCTTAGACTGTTAACGTTAGAGTTGGTGAGACATATGTAGCAGTTCTTAGGTTGTTAAATGCGAACTATGATTACAAAATTTTGACTATGGTCTTAGCTAATTATTCAAAGTCTGTAATACCTAAATTATATAGCTGCTGATCAAATTGGTTTTATTCTAGGCTGCCAGCCATAGTAATTAAACATCAGAAAAATCTTTATTCTCACAGATTATGTTAAACAGAAGGGACTAAAACCTATTTTTCTCTTCCTTGATGCTGAAAAAGCGTTCAGTTGTGTAGAATATAGATACATATTGTGCTGTTTATCAGCAGTGAGTTTTGGTACAGATTGGGCTAAGATCATATATTCTAGATCAATGGTGCAGTTGTCACTACGTAACTCCTTGTTATCTCAGATCAAATTGCACACTTTCTGCCTTACTTTTTAATCTCTTTGGAATCATTAGCAACCATGATTAGAGAATCTGTGCAGTTTAAAGGTATTAAAATTGGTCCCCAACAAGTTAAATTAATTTTTTATGCAGATGATATTGTAGTCTTTATGATGAACCCAGATAGCGCCATTCAGGAATTAAAGAGGATAGTTTACCTTTTTTCCAAGGTTGTGGGGTATAAACTTAATGTAGAGAAAACAGAAGCTGCATTGCTTAATTGAAGTTTTTCTGATATAACCTCATCAAATTTGTTTTCAAATATTCAATTCAATGATTATTATATAACATATTTAGGAGTTAAAATTGGAAGAGGTAATTCTGAAGTCTGGAAGAGTAATTATAAATCAGTAATCACAGACATTAAAGATATGCCACATAGTTGTAAATCTCTTAATCTTTCCATTATGGGCTGCATAAATGCAATCAAAATGAAAGTGATATTTGCTGGCAAATATTCCTGTAATAATACCCAGGGCTGTTTTGGGTGTGTGACAAGCAATGATCAATGCATTCATCTGTGGAGGTAAGAAGCCTAAAATTAGGGGGCAAATTGCACAGAACATGGGTAGTTTTTCGATCCCCATCTTACAGGCATACCATGAATTGATATATGTGGAAAATTGAGGAGAGGATTAGGGATTAATGTCCCTTTAAATCCAGAGATCTTTCTATTGAATTATGTATCTAGTTTTCCTGTGAAATGTCTGCCAGTTCTTTAATCACAACTGTGAGACTTGGTTTTGCTTGGTATTGGATGCAAAACATGACACCAGATATGCAGGAGTGGGTGGAGAAAGTTAAAGAAGGTTCTATAATGATGAAGCTCACTATTTTACAGGAAGTGTTCTCTGTCTTTTGATTGCTTATGACTTCTGTTATTAATTAAATTGAATTAAGATTATAGGTGTGTTAGTTACTCCTGTAAGATGATATTTTCTTTCTAAATAAAGGAAAAAAATCACTGTACTTGGGGACTGTGGTAAGGAGGGGAAACTGAGTGAAGGGAACTGAGTGAAATCGCCCACTGGCAAAATAAGAACATGGTTGCCATTTCTCCTTGTTCCCTTCCCTCTACAGCCCCCATCCCAACAGCTACATGGATTTTTGTCCACATGGGCACTGTGACTTCTAGCATCAGTTTTTTGGAGGTCTCACTTGGTTGCAGTTTTGCTCATGCTTCACAGGATCCAATCCATTGCCTTCAAGTCAATGATCTTATGCCCTAATATATATAAGGGCATACACATAATATGACTCCTTGCCTGAAATTGCTTCCTTAAACCAGTACAAGTTCTGTAGTGCAAAAGGCACATGCTACATAGATTGTATGAACTGAAATTTTGGATTGTACTCCTGGGTACTATAATGCCTCTATTTAGTTGCAAACATATCACTCCTTATATATAATTGTGAAGTGGGGTGGCACTTTCTGAACATTCCACATGCTCCTAAATCAGTTGGCTCCATGATGTGTCACTCAGAAGCTGTCCCTATCCACTGGCTGCATTGTCTGAGTCCCACCTCCAACATTCTAAACAGTTTGCTGTTGCTGTTGGGAGTAATTGAATGTGTCCTGAGGTAAAATACATATCCCAATCTTCCCTTAAACGGTCACTGGAGTTGTCAATCTCCCTGTGGGGCCTGGAGATCTCCCAGAAATCACTGTGTTCCCCAGCCACAGGATATCATTTACCCTACAGAAAATTTCCCGTCTATTACAACTGATCTCTAAATGACCAAGATCAGTTCTCCTGGAGACAATGGCTGCTTTGGGCAGTAGACTCTATGGCATTATACCTTGCTGAAGTCCTTCCCCACCCCAAACCCTGCCCTCCCCAGGCTCTACCCCTCAAATCTACAGGTATTTCCCAACCCAGAGTTGGCAACAATGTAATTGGCTATGGAACCACTTTCCAGACCCTTGGAACCCAGAAAACATGGCATAGGAGGAGGTGTTCTACCTTAGTTGCCACTGTATAGTGTCATGACTACTACCGAGGATGAGCTCCCAATTCCGGCAGAAGCTACACCTGGCCTCAATGAAGCCGTAGAGGCTGCTCCAGTAACAGCTGAGGTGAAACAATGCATGTCAAACAGCCCCCCTGATTCGCCCCCACCGGTGGCCTGTTTGCGAGATCAGCGCCGGCGGAATTTGGCATCCCAATGGCGAGAGGTGCGCCTGTGCAGCAGGTGGTCTCTCAGCCCTGAGTTCTAAGAGGAGCCGGCCGGTAATTGACAACAGCCCGGAGGGGTATTTAGCTCCTCACTCTCGGTCAATCCCTTGTGTTAGCAACTAGTCAGCTCGACGACGCGCTGCACCCACCTCGCCCGTGTTCCTGATTCCTGCTTCCCGCTTTGAATTCTTGGTTCCTTGACCCCGGCTTTGACGACAACGCTCTTGGTCCGTGCTCTAGACTCTGGTGTTTTGGCTCCTGACCTTGGACTGGACCCGGACTACCCCTCTCTCGCCCTGCCTGCACTCCAGCCCGTGACACATAGCCCCAAATTAACATAAGCCAACCTCCAGGCAGCACCTGGAGATCTCCAGCTATTACAACTGATGTCCAGATGACCAAGATCAGTTCTCCTGGAGACAATGGCTGTTTTGGCCAGTGGACTGTATGTCATTATATCCTGCTGAGGTCCCTCCGCACCCCTTCCCTCCCCAGGCTCTACCCCTCAAATCTACAGGTGTTTCCCAACCCAGAGTTGGTAACCCTATAACTGGCTATGGAACCGCTTTCCAGACCCTTGGAACCCAGAAGACGTGGCATAGGAGGAGGTGCTTTTCTACCTTAGCTGCCACTGCATAACCCCAAATCAACATAAGTCAGGGGTGGAGGGAACCATACCTGTTACCATGAGGCTGTCCTCCCATTCTACCCACTTGGGGCAGCAAAATGACTTGAGACAGCCCTGCCTTATAGCTAAGCAGAAGGAAAGAAACATGGCTTGCCTCCCTCAATTTCCCCCTTCCCTCTGCTGCCCCACCAGCTACAGCCGGGACACTCACCTGGAGCTTCCTTCTAGAGCTCGTTGTATTTCTTTCCACAATGGGCCTTACTCCTAGTAGTACATATATATTAATTATTAATAGCAATCGGCTAGTACACCTGCTTTCTCAGGAAACAGAGTTGGAAATTGGATTTGAGTCAGTCCCTTTTCTTGGTGGTTTAAATCATGATTTAAAGGAGTTATTACGAAGATCTTGATTTAAATCACATGAACATATGAAGCTGCCTTATATTGAATCAGACCATGAATATAGGGACCATGGTGAAATATAATAATGTAGCAAAATGAGCACCGCGCAAAATTTCTTCAAAATATATATTAGGACTTTTAATCATATTCTACAATAGTTCCACAAAAAGTACAGTTGTTTGGAACAGCACACAATATGTGATCATCAATACATATCACACTTCAGTGTGAAAAGTCCTTATTACAAGACTCCAGGTGGCTAAAGTGTTTTTGAACTGTTTTGTTTAATTATTGAAAGCTTTGGTTCCATTTAAGCGGTCCTGACGAAGATCAAGGAAACCCAATGGCACTCCGGAATAGTGCACTGGCCACCTAGAGTCTTCATGGAACTTTGTAATAAGGACTTTTCACACTGAAGTATGATATCATTGATTGTTGATCACGTATATTGAATCAGAGGATTGGTCTATTAAGGTCAGTATTGTACACTCAGACAGACAGCTACTGTACAGGGTCTTAAGCAGAGGTTTCCCACATCACCTACTACATAATCCTTTTAACTGGACTTGTTGGGGAAACAAACCTGGGACCTTCTGCATGCCAAGCAGATGCTCTACCACTGAACCATAGCCCCCCCTCCCCCAGTTACAGTGCCAATTTTCTATTTTCATGTTTTGCATAGGAATCTTGCAAAAAGTTATAGAAAATAAGTTAGCTGCATAAATATGCTAAGCAGAAATGCAACACCCCCACTAATATATGTGTCATTTGTAATCAATCCACTTTTCACTCTCTCCAGTTATATATCTGATGTAACTTGCATAATAAATTGTCCATGTATCTTAACAAGCTGTGGTTTTTCACAGAGTTGACCTGGCTCCTGGCTTCTCCCTCTGCTGGCAGAGATGACAGGATTCCAGCACCTGCTTCGTCGGGCTTGAACTCCTCAGCACACCCTGTGGAGCAACTGATTGTTCACGTAACCAATGTTAGCCGCATTATGGAGGATTGGAATGACATCACACAGACACCTGCTGATGCTGCCTCCCTGAAGGCTGGACTGCTACACAATGCCAACAACAATGCCTCTTCGGGGACCTGGCGAGGCCTGAGGAGCCCTTCCCTGGCTTCCGCTGTCTCCCACTCCAAACTAAGCTACCTGGAGCGTGTGGTGCTGGAGATTGTGGAATCAGAACGTATGTACGTGCGGGATTTACGAAGCATTGTAGAGGTGAGTCTGTGTGCCATCATGCATGCCTCTTAGAATGAAGAGGAATCATCCTTAATCTGTCGGTACACAGTGCACTTAATTATTGTTAAAAAAACACTTCATATCATGCCATTCCCTCTTGGTTCAAAGTAGTCTACAGTGATAAATACAAATGCTATAAAACTATGTGTCTTTAAACCATGCAGAAGAGCTTTAAAGATAAATTATTCATTTTTTATGTATTCATTTCACTTAAGGATAAATCTTCCATAGTGGGGAGCAGTGTTCCCTCTAAGCTGAGTTAGTGTGAGCTAGCTCACAGTTATTTAGCCTCCGACTCACACATTTTTGTCTTAGCTCAGGAAGGAGGGCTCCAGAGCAAACTAATTTATGCAGTAGCCAAATTGTTTGCTCACAACTTTAGGGCCAGTAGCTCACAAAGTAGAATTTTTGCTCATAAGACTCGACAGCTTTGAGGGAGCATTGGTGGGGAGAGAAGCAAGACTGTCTTCAAAAATCAATCTTCTTTAGATGGAATGAAAAAAAGCAAACATGCTGTAATAATAGCCAGCCACTGACTGTTGTCTGTCGGTCATAACATGTCTAACAGTGCAATCCTATGCAGGTGTACTCCACTCTGAGTCCGTTAATTTCATTGGGTTTAGACTGCGTAACTTTGCATAGAATGGTACTGAAAATAGACTAATGTATCATCTTATCCACGGTATCCTCTGTCTCTATCATATCTCCAGTTAAAATACAGGAAATTAGATCGAATCCTAGAATCATAGAATGTTAGAGTTGGAAGGGACCTTGCAGGTCATCTAGTCCAACCCCCCACACTCTGCAGGAGCACAGATAAAGCACAACAAAAATAACCTGTCAAAGTAGCTCTGTTACACATATATTTCTGTATGAAATTAAACAGGCATGACTTTAAGATGTGTTTAAAGAATGCTGAAGAAATGTCATGGACCTTGGGAAAGTCCTCTGTCATTCCTAAGGATTTTCCCAAGTTCTTTTGTGCCCCATCAGCCTACTTAGGAAGGAGAGGTGCTATGGTGCAGAGTTGATAGCTTGATCAAAGGGTCTTGGTGGGCTTCATAGGTGGACATAATCATTGCCTATTGTCATAAGGGCTTCCCTTCATTGGGTCTTGGCATTGGAATCTTGTCTCCTGTAGCTACAGCTGTTCCCGACCTAGGAAAGAATTTAGGATGCGCTGTAGGCCTTCGGCCTTGGGTATTTCACTGGGTAGTGTTCTCGTGCTTTTCTCTCAGCAGTAGTCTTGACACTCTTCCACAAGGAGGGTACGCTGACAGTTTTTTCCTAGAGACACGAGGAGTTACTGTCTGCCTTAGCACACAGCATGTGAACAGTATTGTGTATACTACTGTGAATGCCATTTGTCTGTATGCTTTGCCCAAAGGTGTGTTTAGTTCTGGTAATAACCCCTGCCTGTGTTGGGATGTAAAAATCTGCTTTCCCAGTGTCTAATGAGAGCTATGGGTTCTGCCTTGAATATAATATCCCCAGAGGAACTGATTGGGTTGCTGCTCCCATCGCTTCTACATATTTAGGCAGTTGCAAGTCTTGGTGTTTTGTCCTGTTTGCCTGCTTCCTATGTGGTAATGCTCATGGCTTGATGTGATTTTACAGAATTACTTAGGGAAGATCATAGACACCCAAGAGCTGCTCCTGCGGCCAGAACAAGTCAGCGCACTCTTTGGAAACATTGAGGATATCTACGAGTTAAATAGGTGAGTGTGATGTGTGGCCACCACGGCTTCGATGGCCTCTCCTCTCTTTCTTCCCATTTCTTCTTATTGATTTTCCATCTTAGTTTAAAAATAAACAAAGCAGGTGATCTTCCACGCGTGGCCCTAAGCTCAGCCTTGATCTGTACAATACAGCAGCATAGCATAGTAGAATCACGAGAGGAAGGAGTTGACTTGTGTTGATCATAGGTGAGAGTCTGAATGACTGGAGGCAGACCAGGAAACCTCTTGGGACTATGGCAGATCGCTCCATGAAAATATCTACTCAGTGTGCGAGACAAATTCTGTGCTGGGTCTTATTAGGAAAAACAAAATGGCTAGTATCATAATGCTGTTACATAGAAGTATGGTATGGCTGCATTTGGAATCCTGTGTTACAGTTCTGGTCACCCTGTCTCAAAAGGATATTGTAGACCTGGGGAATGTACCTAAAAGGGCAACCAAAATGAGGAACAACAAAGAGTTTGGGACTTCTTAGTGCAGAAAAAAGACAACCGGTGGTAGTGTCAAGATAGAGGTTTATAAAATGAATACATGATTTGTGGATTTTCTCCCTTTCCCCCAAATACTAGAACTAATGGGCACTCAAAGAGTTGATGGGTAGTAGATTCAGGACAGATTTTAAAAAGTACTTCACACAACACATAATTTGCTTGTGGAACTTGCTTCTATCTGATGTAGTGATGGCAGCTACTTAAGGTAAAGGTAAAGGTTCCCTTGCTCGAAAGCCAGTCGAATCCAACTCTAGGGTTGTGGTGCTCATCTCCGTTTCCAAGCCAAAGAGCCAGCGCTGTCCGAAGACGTTTCCATGGTCATGTGGCCGGCATGACTAAACACCAAGGCGCATGGAACGCTGTTACCTTCCCACCGAAGTGGTCCCTATTTATCTACTTGCAATTTCTTGCTTTTGAACTGCTAGGTTGGCAGGAGCTGGAACTAGAGACGGGAGCTCACTCCGTCATGCGGCACCCGGGTCTTGAACTGCTGAACTACCGACCTTCCACAGCCTGCAGTTCAGCGTCTTAACCACTTGAGCCACCGCTTAGATGGCTTTAAAAGGGGATTTGACAAATTCATGTAGGATAGCTCCATTAGTTACTGTAATGGATGAATAAGATCAGATTGCTGGTTTGCCAGGGGAGGTGTGTAACGCTGGGATAAAGGTTAAGTCTGTGTGCTTCTGCTTTGGAACTTTTGATGCGCCTAGCCTGCTACTGAGGATGCTACCGAAAACTCACTGCTAATAAAAAACAGATCAGTACTGAGGGGATAAAAGGATTTAGCCCAGCCTGCTCCCTGATGTGCTAGCCTTCTCCTTGTAGGGTTTTCTTAATATAAGGTAGCATTCAAAAGTGAGCCCCACCTACAGTCTCAAGTGGTACGGTCTTTTCTACCATCTCGTTCTGTAGCATCTACAGAGCAGGCATGACAATGAGACAGACAGGAAGCTGGCATGGAGGGTAGGCAGGCACCCACTGGCACACAAAGCAGCCTTTGAGAGGGAAAAAATTGCTGTCAACAATGGTGTGAAATCACTTCTGAGAAAATCTAGAAGTATTTATTTATTTATTTATTTATTTTTAGCCCACCCTTCCCACAAGCAGGCTCAGGGCAGGTAACAGCAGTTTGTCAATACAATAAAAACATTTCATTAGTACAATAAATATACTTTAAAATGGTGGCCACAGCCCTACAGTAGAAATAGGGCTGCCAAGCCGCGGCGGGGAATCTGCACGTCTTCACAGGATCCCTGCCGCGGGGGACAGTGATACGCGTTGCACCGCCGTCGCCAGGATGTGACGCTATGCGTCACATCCTGGCGACGGTGGTGCAACGCGTATCGCTGTCCCCCGCAGCAGGGATCCTGTGAAGACGTGCGGATCCTCTGCCGCGGCTTGGCAGCCCTACGTAGAAAAATTAATGGTTGCGAGAGGTCTTGGCCCATAATAAGATGTAAATAGTGACCAGCAGTTGTTAATGGGTGACAAGAACCTCAGGGTACATTGGACGTCCGCTGTCTCAGCCAAAGGCCTGGCGGAAGAGCTCCGTCTTACGGGCCCTGGGGAATTGAAGAAGATCCCGCAGGGCCCTGATCTCCATGGGGAGCATGTTCCACCAGGCAGAGGCCAGGGCGGAAAAGTCCCTGTCCCTGGTTGAGCAAGACGGCATCTTTCAGGCCAGGGACCTCCGGGAGATGTTGATCCATGGAGCGTAATGCTCTTCGGGGTGTGTACGAGGAGAGGCGGTCTCTCGGGTATGTTGGTCCCAGGCCATGTAAGGCTTTAAAGGTTATTACCAACACCTTGAAGCGGATCTGGAACGCAACCAGTAACCAATGCAATTGGCGGAGCACCTGCCAAAGGTGAGCCCATACAGGCGTCACCAATAGCAAGTGAACTGCCGCATTTTGCACCAGCTGTAATTTCCGGGTCAGCTTCAAGGGTAAGCCTGCGGATTGTTACTGTAGGAATCGGCTGTTAGCTTTACCATAGCATTTCCAGTGATTCCTAGAGATGTGTGACATCACTTCCAGGAAAACCCAGAAGCGATGCTATGCCATCGCTGAGGGCCACCCTGCTACGTCCCCGCCCCACCTGGTCCCCCACTGGTTGTCAGACAATCTCACTGGCATGATATTTATTTTCTGTCCCTTACCACCATTTTTCTCCATCAACACAGTTCTACTAACATTTGCTAGCTGTGTATTACTCCCATTGGACCCTTCTTGGAACAGCACCTGTGCCACTACTGCTCATCCATGGACTTAGAATCTGTTTAATTTTGTGATTCAGTGCGGCAGGAGGCAAATTATACCACCTATGCAGGGGGCAGATTATACACCTATGCTGGATTATCAAGGCAGTCTTGCTTGCAGGCTTCAAATTGCAAGCAGTTAAAGTTATGATAAATCCATGCAAGAAGAATTAGGTCCTCTTTTTCTCTAGCTCTTCAATTACTAGAAAGTGGGTGCCACAGTGTTCTTTCACGTAAATCAAGCCAGGTGACTTTTCCCCAAGCTCTAAAATTACTGGCATGAGTGTTTGATCTGTGGTGTGTATCTCGGCATTGCTGAGCAGACCTGACTGGAGGTGGGGAGAGGATTTAGCAGCGGAAACCCGTAGCTGGGTAGAGAGGCCGCTTCAGTCCCAGAGTAGGGAAGCAAAAGCTCTGTTGTGAGGAAGCAGTGAAAACAGGCTGGAGAAGTGACCGACCAAGTTCAAATCCCCGGTTGTACTTTTGGCTTATTAGGCACCTAAGGTTTAGTCTTTCTCCAGTCTTGGGCAGCTGTTTCTCCACTTCTTTTGGTTGTGTGTATAAATTAGCCTGGTGAATTCACATTGCAGTGTCAAAAGTGGTTGTCAGAATGCAGCCTGGGCAGTTCCTGGCAGTGTGGAGGCGGTGCCTGGGGAGGGTGGCATCTGGGCAGGAGAGGGAGCTCAGCGGGGTTGTGGGGCTGTAGAGTCTGCCCTTCTAAGCGGCTCTCTGTAGTCAGGATGGAGATCAGTTGTAGAGATGTGAAGGCCCGGGAAAAAAACGGAAAAATTCAGGAAAAAAACGTTTTTTTTCCCTGTTTTTTTCCTGAAGCCTTTTTGTTTTTTTCTAAAAAATTGGAAAAATAGAAAAAATAAAATAAAATAAATTGATTATGGAAGATTTTATTTTAACATGATGAATAAAATATTTTAAGAAAAAGTGTTCAAATATTTTCCAAATTATTTCTAAAATATACATATATGGTATCAGACTGATCTAATTTCTGTGCACTGAGGAGAAACAAGTCCTAGGTTACAAACTGAACTCTCCAATGCAAGAGCAAGATGCATTTCTTCCTTTAGGAGGTGCTATTGTCAGAAGAAAATAAAAAAGTTTCAGTTTTGTTTTTGCATGTGGGTGGGTATTCTGTTTGTAATAATTGTTTGGATACACTATATTTTTAATATGCTAGTTGTGATAATTTCATGCCAAGTAAAAATGTCCATAGTCATATTTTATGTTCCTAAAGTAACAGAATGACTTTCAATCTAGAAAAGACAAAAGAAATGCTAATGTAGCATTTTTTTTGAATTTTTCCGAAAATTTCCATTTTGTTCCAGAAAAAAATGGGGAAAAAACGGGTTTTTTTCCGAGCTTCAAAATTTCCGGAAATTTTACATCTCTAATCAGTTGTAATTCTCGAACACTGGGGCCCTTAAATGCATCTGATTAAGGAGGCTCTGCCTCCTGAACGTTTAGGCTGGAATAAATTTTGTTAGTTTTTAAGGTGTTCCTGGATTCTGTCCCCCCCCTTTTTTGTCTGCTTAAATGGTAAGCTTCGGGGGTCAGAAACTGCCTCACCACTCGAGATACCCCGTGCAGTGGTGAGATGCTCTTAGCTGGGGTCTCAGGGCTTCACTGTGGCCACCACAATCATGCAAAAGAGCTGCTGAGCTGAGCTGGGCAGGACTGATTGGTTGTTTTACCAGTTGGTGCGTCTCTCTGTGTTTTCCCACTCCTTGGCAACACTGGAAAGGCTCTCCGTGGTCAGGCGGGTACTGTGCCCAAATCTTTGCATGCTCTGTTGCCTACTTTCTCCATCTACATTTGGAGTTGGATGGGATAACGAGGTGGTTTGCCTGCAGTATGGAGAGCCTGTACTGTCCTGCTGCTGTGACTATAAAATGCACTGAGACAAAGGTCCCATCATGTTACCCAAACAGGTGTACATGTGTCAGGGCTGTAATGCAAAGTAGCAAGAACAAACACGTGTATTCTGAATACTTGGGATCTTAGCCTTTGTATATCAGATCAAAACTCAGGAAAACGAGGAGGGAAAGACTCAAACAGAAGGGGATTTTTATAAATGGAAAAGAAACCAGATTAATTTATGCAACACAGTAGAACAAACTGAGAGTTACCAAATTGGGGGGGGGACCCACAAAGCAGCAAATAAAGCATGAAGACCTTTCCCCAGAGAACCTGCCTGCCTAAAAGGGGAAATAAACCTATAGAAGACAAGGAAACACATGAGCCTGGGGGGACAGAATAATTCCAAAACCAGCTAAAAAATTGGGGCTGAAGGGGGGTCACTTTTAATACTTCTTTACCTGGGCTTAGGAGGGGAAGGGGTGTGGGCTTCAGAATGCTGGGATAATAAAAATGCAATCTTTCAAAGATGAGCCAGCCTGAAAAGACATCCTTTGTCTACATATGGTAGGGGGAGTTTTCCTTTTGGCATGGGGAAGTGTCAGAAAAGTTCCCTCGGGGAGAATGAGAAGTTAGATCTGTGTACTTACCTGTGCAGTCATTGTGAGTCAACTGCTGGAATCAGCCCATTGTTTTGGAAATCTGGGTTGTTACTAGAGATCAGATTATCTGGGAGGAGGCTTCAGGGTATTTGGGGGAAATGGCCTTTGAATGAATCCCTTTCAGTGTGGGCTTTTGCATGGTTGATGGAGGAGCTGCCCTGCATCCCTGTCCTTATTTGGCCTGACTCACTGCCCTTTGACATCACTGAAGTTCAGGCTCCCTTCATCAGTCCTCCCTCCCCACTGACTCCTTCAGTGTACTTTACCAGTTTAAGAAATTGCAAGTACAGAAGGGCCTTTACCAAGAGGCACACGTAGATATTTTACCACTCAGAGTCTTAAAAGGCCATTTTAATGGGATACCATATAGGAAAAGAGTCTGCTCCTGTGATCAAAGGTCTATGGAGGATCTATCCCATGTCACATTTCAATGTACAAGATATAGGGGTGAATGTAATAGATTTTTGTGGACCATAATATCCAGTTTCCTAGGAAGGTCAGCTTAGGAGAAATTCGTTGTATTACTGACAGATAGAGACAAATTCATTACTCTCCAAATGACAAGGTTTGCTGCCCCCGTTATGAAGGATAAAAAGAGGATGGGGGCATTGCTGACCATAGGATGTCTGACCTGTGACTGCTTCACTCCGGGTCAAACGTTGTCATCTTTTATTTGTCTCTGGATTATAAGGTCTTTCTCTCTTACTTTTAGATACACAATTTTGATGATTTTGTATTTGTAAAGGTAAAGGTAAAGGTTCCCTTGCTCGAAAGCCAGTCGTATCCGACTCTAGGGTTGCGGTGCTCATCTCCGTTTCAAAGCCGAAGAGCCAGCGCTGTCCGAAGACGTTTCCATGGTCATGTGGCCGGCATGACTAAACACCATGGTGCACGGAACCATGGATGCATGGTTCCGTATTTGTATTTGTATTTTAATACTAATTGGAATTTTTTAAATTTTTTAATTATTTTGTTTGTCCCTTTTAGTTTTATCTTGGTGGAATCTCCACCTTATTCTGTATTGTTGCTATGGCTTTTCTTTGTTAATGCAATAAAGACTGATGATTGATTGATTGACAATTCTAGGCCAACACTGAGGTGTATACGTGTGCAAAAGAGGGAACAAACCAAGACAAAAATGGGGGTCTCAGGGCTGGCTGATTGACTATTCTTTCTCCCTCACTCAGTGAACTCCTGCAGGACCTGGACAGCTGCCACAATGACCCTGTTGCCGTTGCAAGGTGTTTTGTGGACAGGGTAAGGAGATGAGAAGCTTTGTGGTGGTTGATTTGGTTTGGTGGTGGATGATTGAATGTCATGGCTGATACTGTTTTGTGAGCCCTTTGCCACCCATATGTGGGTTCTTCCACTAAAGAGGTCAGGGCTTCATCCACCAATACATAGGATGAAGTCTTGGAGTATATCTGAAGGCATATGATGCAGCAATCTTACTGAAACCAAGGACTTTTGGGTTTGGATGGTACCTAGATGGGACTGTCGGGGAATCCAATGTATTCTATCATGAGGAGATAGGTGGCATATAAATGTACTGAATACATTTTTAGGGAACAGGTTTTGACAGTTGAGTATTCACCACCCCCCCCCCCACTAAGCACGTACCCCTCTACAGAAATAAGGCAAAACAACAGGTCTCTGAGACACATCAAAGCATTTAGGAAAACAAAAGCATTTGGTTTTCACACCCCTCTTCCCCTCCTCCTTTCTCTATGGCAGGCAAACTATAAAATGAATACTGAGCCTGACATACTGCCCCCCCCCAAGAGCCCTAACCCCTTTGGTTTGTGAGGGATTTGTTATGGAATGCATGGGTTAGAGAGGAGTCTCTAACATGTTTACATTTCACCCACTCATTATGCAATTCATCAAAGTCCTTCCATTTAATCAAGTAGTATAGTCGGTTCCATTTCAACTTAGAATTGAGGATCTCTTCCACCTCCTGGTGGGGTTCACCATCCACCATTAGAGGAGGTGGAGCAGCTGGACGTGGTCTCCACTTGTTCGGTCCCGGATCCCTTTTTAGTAAACTGAAACAAAATAGAGGGTGACTATGCCTCAGAGTCTTGGGTAAATCAAGTTCCACAACCACTTTGTTCAAGACTCTCAGCACCTTGAATGGGCCAGTATACTTCCACTCCAGTTTCCTCCCCGGCTGGAGCCCCTTCAGATTATTTGTGGAGTGGTACAATGAGTCCCCAGGTTGCAACTCCCATTCAGGAGCTCTCCCTTTATCAGCCCAGTGGAGCTGCTTGGCGTTTAGGCGCCTGGGCGTGCATAATGCCTCCAGGTTTTCGTGGTCCGTCCATACTTTGAACGGCACCCTCACCCCCTCCAGCCAGTGCCTCCAGGTCATGAGGGCCAGTTTGATGACATCCACCTCTTTATCCCAAACAGCCCAATTACGCTCCTTGGGGGAGAACTTCTTAGACACATATGCCAGGGGGTGGAGCTTTCTATCCTCACCCTGTTGCAGGATGCCCCCCCCATAGCCACATCAGAGGCGTCAACTTGGATCACAAACAGCTTGCTTTCGTCAGGATGTTGTAAAATGGGCTCAGAGATAAACAGCTCCTTGAGCCTTTCAAATGCCTGCTGGCACCCCAAAGTCCAGTCCAGCTTGGTACTTGACTTGCTACTGTCAGGACCCTTTCCCTTGGTTCTTAACAAGTCAGTAAGGGGCAAAACCACCTAGGCGAAGTTTGGGATGAATGCACGGTATAAATTTGTGAACCCAAGGAATGATTGGAGCTGGCACGGGTTCGAAGAGCCTGCCACCCCACTACATCATGCACTTTATGGGGTCCATGCCCAGTCCCTCCCCCAAAATCTGATCTCCCAGGAAATGCAGTTCATCCTTATTAAACTCACACTTGGAGAGCTTGACAAAGAGCCGGTGCTTTTAAAGGGTTTTGAGAACCTCCCTGACCAACTTTACATGTGAGTCTTTTATCTTTCGCCAGGGGGTGGAGCTTTCTATCCTCACCCCGTTGCAGGATGCCCCCCAGATTCACATCGGAGGCGTCAGCTTGGATCACAAACAGCTTGCTTTCGTCAGGATGGTGTAAAATGGGCTCAGAGATAAACAGCTCCTTGAGCCTTTCAAATGCCTGCTGGCACCCCAAAGTCCAGTCCAGCTTGGTACTTGGCTTGCTACTGTCAGGACCCTTCCCCTTGGTTCTTAACAAGTCAGTAAGGGGCAAAACCACCTAGGTGAAGTTTGGGATGAATGCACGGTATAAATTTGTGAACCCAAGGAATGATTGGAGCTGGCACGGGTTCGAAGAGCCTGCCACCCCACTACATCATGCACTTTATGGGGTCCATGCCCAGTCCCTCCCCCAAAATCTGATCTCCCAGGAAATGCAGTTCATCCTTATGAAACTCACACTTGGAGAGCTTGACAAAGAGCCGGTGCTTTTAAAGGGTTTTGAGAACCTCCCTGACCAACTTTACATGTGAGTCTTTTATCTTTCAAATAGACCAAGATATCATCCAGATAAACTAGCACCCCCTTGAATAAATGCTTGTGTAACACTTCATTGATTAAGTTCATTAAAACCCTGGGGGGCCCCACTAACCCCCAAATGGCATCACCAGGTATTCAAACTGTCCCAATGGGGTATTGAAAGCTATTTTGTGCTGGCTTCCGGTTTATGGCGACACGCAGGCAGACACATCTCCCGGACGTCCCGAGGATGTAGACTGCAGACCAACGTGTGGGAGGGGGTCCGACGGGTCGTGACCCCCCCCGGAGCCTTGGTAAAAGGCTCCCAGCCAGGGGTCTTTTGAGGGGCGACCTCTTCGATGGCCGAAAGCTGGAGAATTGAGGCGCCCCTCCGCCCTGAAGGTCCTGCCGCTGAGTGACCACATGGTACGAGTGCTGCTGACTGAGACAAGCATTGGAGATCGGGCAAAATAAATGATGATGAGCGAGGCCGAATGGCCAACAACAAACTGTGAGTCGGGTTGAAGCGAGCATGAAGATATAAAAAGAAGCTGCCCCCCCTAAAGAGCAACGGGAAACCGAGCGGGGGAGGGATCCCTCCCAAACGCATAGACAAAACACGGAAGGAAAGAGGGGGGAGCAGAAAAATAAGCGACTAAAACTGTTTTAAGAGACTTACCAGAGCGCAGAAAAGTGTTTGGGCGAATATCAGAAACTTTAACAACTTCTTTGAAAAGTAAACAAATCCAAAAAGATGGCGGGGAAGAAACCGGAGAAAGAGAAGCTGTTGAAATCGAAACTAGGGGCCAGTCCTCAAACGGATGAGGTCACTGAGCTCTCAAAACTCTTAGCTGACTCCCTGCGCCCCCTGCTGGACGAGATAACTGGCATTAACAGCTGTCAGTAATTGGGCAGAGTGTCGCAGCGCAGCAGATGCAACTGACTCAATCCTTAAAAGCAACAGAGCAAGTGGGAGAGAAGGTGAAGGAAATGGATGTCACTACTAAAAAAGTTAAGAAAAAGGTGCAAAAGATGGAAATGAAGCAAGCTACAGAAGAGTCAAAGCTTTTACAGCTACAAATGGATAAAGCAAATTTGGTTCTACGGTTTCAAGGGGTCCCGGAAATTGA